TTTTAGGTAGGGGTCCTATGCAATCAATTACAACCATTGTAAAAGATTCCTCAAACGCAGGTATTAAGGATGCTGGGTTTATTACTGCATGAGATTTCCTAAATACCTGACATGTCCAGCAAAATTCAACCACATCCCTATGCAGTCCAGGCTAAAAAAAATGTTTTTGGATTTTGGCTAGAGTTTTCCTTACTCTTAAATGACCTCCTGCTGTAATTCATGGGCTACCCGCAACATCTCCTTTCTGTAGCCCACTGGTAAAACAATTTGATAAACATCTGCCCATTTCTCATCTACCTGAATAAGTGATTGGTCTCCAGTCCCTCATCAAGATGTCATTTTTAAGATAGTAACATTCTGGGATACACTCAGATTCTTCTTTTGTGTATGCTTTTTGATACAACTGCTTTATGTTTTCATCTTTCTGTTGTAATTCAGTTAATTTATCTGAGCTAAAATATCTACTTTGTGTTCCACCTGTTCTTGTTCCTTTCTCAAACATTTGATCAAACATGGTGTCTGACAAATAAACTTCAACTTTATTTTTATTCTTTGATTTCTCCTCCTCCCTGATTCAACCTATGGCTCAATAAGCTCGTTCCCAAAGAATCAGGAAAATCCCAGAATATACTTCCTGTAATACCTCAGTTGCCTGATTTTCCACTGACTTTTCAACAACATAGTAGGCATCACTCCGACCCTGTGATCCAGCTACATCATTACGAAGGACAAATTGTATTCCTGGAACTGAGAGTTTTTCTGGTACTCCTACCACCACTTCACTTTTCACCGGACTTTCCAACCTCACTTTATGAAATAGAACACTAATCTCTCACCATGAATTACACATATATAACCACCTTTTCTAGCAATACTCCTTCTGGATTACATATCTCCTCGTCTCTCACCAAAGGCTAACATGCTCCCATATCTCTTACAATTTTAATTTCTTCACCTGCTCTTCCTGGCAATATATGAGTAAATCTTACCCTTGCAAGTAAATTCTTTAGAGAGATCTGGCACTTTCTTCTCAACCAACCTCTGACCAAGTTGTACATTCTGGTGCAGCTTTTTAGCCTCCACTGTGCTTTCCTTCAGAAAATCTCACTGGATTATCCTGTTTTCCCACATCCATCTTCCCAGTGCTTTTTCTAAGCCACCAACACTGACTTCATGTGACCTACTTTATTGCAGTGAAAACACTTGAGCTTTTTTACTTCTCTTTTCCCCTCAAGTCTTTCCTTTTCAACCTGTGGTAAACTATCTTTACAATTTTCAATGAGATCTCCTTTTCCCTCACCACCTGAGGATTTCTCTTTTCCCCAAGTTCTATCCCTCACAAATTGAAATTGATGTCAGAAGCCAAGTTTTGATTTATGAACCAGCTCATAACCATCTGCCATTTCTGCTACTAATCTTGCAGTCTTAACTTTCTGCTCTTCCATGAGTTCTTGCTACTTCAGGGGGTGAATTTTTGACTGCCTCCAAAATAATCATTTCTCTAAGAGTGTCATATGGTCAATCTACTTTCAATGTCCTTATCCACCGATCAAAATTGCACACGCACAACCAGGTTCAGGAACAGCTTCTTTCCAGCCATTAGCAGATTGTTGAATGGATTCTAGCCTTAAATAATGTAACCAGTATGCCTGTAAGTCTTAGATAACGATGTGTAGAGCTGGATGAACACAGCAGGCCAAGCAGCATCAGAGGAGCAGGAAGGCTGACGTTTCGGGCCTAGACCCTTCTTAAGTCTTTTTGATTTGTACATCCTTTGCATGCTGCGATCTGCCTGTACTGCTCATAAACAAAGTTTTTCACTGATTTTATTGTCATGTGTACTGAAATACAATCAATAATTTCAAACTCTACGTACATTGACCAGGGTCCGTCCTTAGACTCCTGAAACGTTGTCTATAGGCTTCTGACACTAGCTCATACACACTTAAGACAGCTTTCTTCACTTCCTTATACTCTCCAGGCATGTCCACTGATAGTGATGCAAATACCTCACTAGCTGTACCTAGCAATTTTGTTCAGATCAACAATACCCACATGGTCACTGGCCATTCGATTTGTTTAGCCACTTTCTTCAACGAAATAAAAAAGGCTTCTACATTCTTCGCGTCCAAGTTAGGCAATGCTTGGACATGTTTAAACATATATCCCCACCAGGCTTTGGCTACAATCGGTTTTCTCGTTATCACTAACCTCCTCACTTCATTCCTGCCCTATTCGTTCCTTTTCTTTGCCTCCAATTCAAGGGCCTTCATTTGCAATTGAATTTTAGCCATTTCCAAAGATTCCGATGGCATTTCTGGCAATTATAAATGTTGAGCTATTGATGCAATTAACTTTGCTTTTCGCACGGACAAAAGCAACCCCAAATCCAGCTGGTCTGCCAATTCCAAAACTTTGCCTTGCTCACTTTCTGTAAAACTCCCAATGGGACTTCTTCCAGCCCAAGGAATCTCTTAGTGATTGAAAGAGCCATTTCTATATAAGGCACACCCTGTTTAAACCAATTGAATTCAACAGCCAAAACAAAAGACACTAACACTTACCACTCGCTGTGTTTGAGTCCAATAATTCTAAACCCAAACCGGCAGAGACAGTGGGGGAGGTGGGGGGTGGGAAGAGAGAGAAACAGAGAGAGAGAGAGACTTATCCAACTGCCAGTTGAAAGCAGTTACCAAGATAAGCTTGACGTGCAGAGGTTTCCCACTTTAGCAAAATGCAGACTTAGGAACACTTTGTATGAGATTTGTAAGGACCGTCTTTCTATTTTGTGCTTTTTTAAAAATGAGAGCTGAAATGGGGAAGATTGGTTATAAAACTAGCGTTCTGAAAGGATGTCTGCATGTTTTGCAAAGCAAGTAAGCTGACAACAATGGCAAGTCGCTGTTTGAACAAGCAGCAATTGAGTGTTTGCAGATAAACAGGAGCCACTGGGTTGTGTGCAGTTTAAGCTAGTTGGCAACAACAATTTGATTGAAAACTGGTCACGAGTCCATAGACCAATGACAAAAGCCGTTTGCCTGACAACAACTGAGAAATCCGGTGTCAGCTAACTGAACAGCTTGCTGTCGGGAAAAAGCTAAAGTGAAGGGATTTGATCTCCACCAACCTGGAAACTGTCTCTTTGTTCCTGCAGTCAAACTTATTTTAAAACTGAAGAAAACCAGTTAATCTTTCCTTCAGCAACTATTGTATGCTGTGATTTAATGACAAATCAGAGACAATTTAGAAGTACATCAGCTATCCTGTGCCTCTTGCAAACCAGTGGAAGCATTTAAAAAAGGGAAGCCAGGAAGAAACTTTTGGATCAGCAAGGACCAACTCAACAGAATTTAGAACATAGAACAGTACAGCACAGTACAGACCCGTCGGCCCACAATGTTGTGCCGACTTATTATCCTACTAAGATCAATCTACCCTGCATACCCTACATTTTACTATCCTCCATGTGCCTATCCAAGAGTCCCTTAAAAGTCTCTAAAGTATCTGACTCCACTACCACTGCCAGCAGCGCATTCCACACGCCCACCATTCTGTGTGTGAAGAACCTACCTCTGACATCTCCCCTATACCTTCCTCCAATAAATTTAAAATTATGCCCCCTCGTAATAGTCATTTCCGCCCTGGGAAAAAGTCTCTGACTATCCACTCTATCTATGCCTCTCATCATCTTTTAAACCTCTATCAAGTCACCTCTCATCCTTCTTCGTTCCAATGAAAAAAGCATTAGCTCCCTCAACTTTTCCTCATAAGACCTGCCCTTCAGTCCAGGCAGCATCCTGGTAAATCTCCTCTGCACTCTCTCTAAAGTTTCTACATCTTTCCTGTAATGAGGTGACAAGAACTGAACACATTTGTGGGCAAAAAGTTGAAACGACTTTCCAGTTTTTCCTCTCCATCCATATATGCCTTTTTTCCCTGTCTGTACTTGTTACGGGGAGTTTATAAAGGAGTTTTAATTATTACATACTGATGGGATATAACTGTTTGCCTGTAGCTACAATATAATTACTTTTAATAAATAGTCATTCTTGTTCAGTATAAAACCTAGTCAGTGCTTTCTATCAACCTGGTTCTGGCAATCAGGTAAATTGGGGAATTTTGTGAACTTAGTCTAACATTTTTAACTTTTGTGACAACTCCATGAAGAGTGAGGCTTGATTCTCAGAGTAAAGAAGGAGTTTATTTGCAGAAACAGGTCAGGTAAAATCTAAAATCTGTTAAGTAAAATCAGGAATCTCAATCTCAAGTTATGTAAGAACAGAGTAGATTAGATGTCAAGAGATAGTTTGGAGGTGGTCCTTTTCCCTGAGAATAGCAGTCCTATGGACTTGGCTGCCAGTTGATGCAGTGAATGGTAAATCCTGTCAAGCTCAGCAGGACCTGATCATGCAGAAAGAATAACAAAATGCTGGAGAAATTCATCAGATCTGGCAGCATCTATGTAGAAAGAAACAATTAATGCTTTGTGTCCAGTATGATTCTTCTTTGGAACCAATTTCTATTTCAGATTTCGAGCATCCGCCATATTTTGCTTTTATTTACCTGTTTCTAACAGAGGTTACCTAAGACAAAAGATATCATAGTCTAGATTATATAATATTACATAAGGTCAGTGTAGTTTACTGAACTAGTTCATGCACCTAAATGAATTGAATTGAAATATATTCCTGATATTTTTCTGGAACTGGACAGGCTTTCAAGCCTCATCCAGAAGATTACATATCTCACAGTAGGGTGTATAACATATTTACTGTGATACAAAAGGCAACAGTTTGACAGGACAGATTGGATCGGCCAGTGGGTCTTACTCTGTCCATATGTTAATTTCCAATAGAATAGATTGATACACCAAGAGGCACATGCCTTTGGCTCACGGTGTCTCCTGAGGCAGTTCCATTCCTCAAAATTGCTAAGTCTCATATAGACACAACATTTTAAAATTAAAATAAAGAAGAAGCAGCAACACCAAACAATCCTACTGTTTTCCCAAAGCCGTATTCTCGCTGGAGATTCCCAAAAACATCTTGTGCACTGTATGGCCGATTCTGGTCGTTCAAATACTTCAAAATAACAGAAGCAGCTAAAAAGAAAAGATTTTTAATTTCAATTAAAATGTTAAAATTGCCTGATGTTTAAACTTGAATCCATTCTCTATCACACAGAACTCACTTAATCCTTAATCACTGTTTAAACATCATAGGCTTAGCAGTGAAATGCTCTTTTTGGATTTATTATAAATATCAATTTCCAATATTAACACTGAAATCATTTCTTGTGAGACATCTGGCACAGTCTATAGTAAAAATTTGCAACCATCTTCAGACAGAGGTAAAGAGAGAATGATACATCTTAATCTCCACCTGAGGTACCTACCATGACAAATACTACTGTAGAACCAATTCAGTTCACTTTTATGTAAAGAAATAAATGGTTGAATTGAACTGGATACAGCAAAGGCAGTGGTGCAGTCACTGGACAAGTAATCCACAGACCCAGGTTAATGCTCTAGGGTTGCGGGTATCAATTCCCAGCATGGCAGATGGTGAAATCGGAATTCAATAAAAACCTAGAATTTTGAGAAAAAAAGCTGTTCTAATGACTTCCATGGAACCACTGTCAACTGTAAAAGCCCATCTGCTTCATTGATGTCCTTTATGGAAAGAATCTGCCATTCTTACATAGTCTGACCTACACGTGACTCCAGACCCACAACAATGAGGCTGACTCTTACCAGAATTGTTACAGCATCGGAGGCCATTCGGCCCATCTTGCCCGAATCCTTGCTTCTGTTGCAATAACTTTAAATCTGCGGTGAGGAAAAGCTCACCTTAACAGTATGCCCCTAGTTTTGAACTTCCCCACCCTAGGGAAAAAACCCTCGCTATTCACCTTATCTATGCCCCTCATGATTTTATAAACTTGCATAAGGTCACCCTCAATATTCTACACTCCAGTTAAAAATGTCCCAACCTCCTTTTATAACTCAAACTCTCCATTCCTGGCAATATCCAGGTAAATCTTTTCTGAATCCTCTCTAATAATTTCCTTCCTTTAGCAGGGTGACCAGAACTGCACACAATACTCCAGAAGAAGCCTCACTAACATCCTGTACAAACTTAATATGAAGTCCCAATTCCTACACTCAAAGGTCTGAGCAATGAAAGCAAACATCATAAAGAAGGCAAATGGAATGCTCTCCTTTATCGGCAGAAGTACAGAATACAAAAATAGCGATATAATAATGAAATTGTACAAGATATTGGTAAGGCCACACTGGAGTACTGCATGCAGTTGTGGTCACCACATCACAGGGAGGATGTAATTGTTCTGGAGAGTGTGCAGAGACGATTTACTAGAATATTGCAGGGCTGGAGAATCGTAGCTATGTGGAGAGATTGGAGAGATTAGGGTTGCTTTCCATGGAACAGAAAAGGGCAGGATGGTGGTGGGGAAATGGTGACATGATTGAGTTATACAAAACTGTTAGGGATAGAGATCGAGTAGACAGGAGGGACTTGTTTCTTTGACAGAAAGATCAAAAACTGGGGTCATAGATTTAAGCTAAGTGACAGAAGGATTAGAGGGGAAAACTTTTTTTTACCGGGGGTGGTGGGTATCTGGAATTTGCTGCATGTGTTGGAGGCAGAGACCTTAAACTGTTTTAAAAATTACTTGGATCTGCACCTTAAGTGCTGTAAGCTGCAGGGCTATGGGCTGTGTGCCAGAAGATGGGGTTAGAAAGGGCATTTGGCAGTCTTTGGGTTGGCACAGACAAGATGGGCAAAATGGGTCCCCTCTGTGCTGTATCATTTCTATGGGTCAGTGGTTCTATTATTTTCTTTTCATGAAGCTATGCTAACTCTGCTTGATCATATTATGTATTTTTAATACTCTACTATTACATCCTTTATAACAGACTGTAATACTTTTCCAATGACAGATATTAATCCAACTGTCCTGTAATTAACCTTTTTATTGCATCTCTCCCTTTTTGAATAAAAATTTCATTAGCAATTTTCAGATCCTCTGGGACTTTTCCAGAATCTACAGATTCTTGGAAGATTACTATCAGTTCATCCACTATCCGTGGAGCTACTTGTATTAATATGCTAAAATGCAACCAATCAGATCATTGTGGTGTGGTAAATTACGAGGACAGAAGTCGAGACTATAGGATGATATAGATGAGCTAGTCAGATGACCTGAACAGTGGCAAATAGAGTTTACTCATGAAATATGAGAGATTTTGCATTTTGGGAGGACGAACAAAGCAATGGAGAACTTTCTGAATGGCAGAAGTTGAGAGGGAGCGTCCATTCCCACAGATATTTGAAGGCAGCCATGCAGGCGGGCAAGGCAGTTAAATAGGCATATGGGATACTTGCCTTTAACTGCTGAGGCACTGAAAACAAAACCAAGCAGATTACCAATTATAGTAGTTTCATTGATTGTTCATCTTCCCACCCTGCTTCCTGTAAAGAATCTATTCCATTCTCTCAGCTTCTCCATCTCTGTCGTATCTATTCTGATGATGCCAGCTTCTACAAGGGACCCTCCAAAATGTCTATTTTCTTCCTTAGCTGAGGATTCCCCACCACCAGTGGTTGACAGGACCCTCAGCCGTGTCCGACCCATCTCCCCGACTTCGGCCCTCTCACTTTCTTTTCCCTCCCAAAACAACAGGGTCCCCCGGTCCTTACTGTCCACCCCACCAGCGTTCACATCCAAAGGATCATTAGCTGCCATTTCTGCCACCTCCAACAGGATGCCACCACTAGAGATTTATTTCCCTCCCCTGTCAGCCTTCCGCAGGGACAATTCCCACTGGAACACCATGGTCCACTCCCAACATTGCCCCCACAAACCCACAGCATCTTCCTATGCAAATGCCAGTTTACGTCCTTCCTCTTCACTATCCAAGACCCCAGACACATCTTCCAGGTGATGCAGCACTTACCTGCATTTCACTTATTGTAGTTTACTGTATTTGCTGCTCAGTATCCTCTACAATAGAACAGTACAGCACAGGAACAAGCCCTTTGGCTCATGATGTTGTGCCAAACATGACGCCAAATTAGACTGATTCCTTCTGCCTGCCCTTGGCCCATATCCCTCCGTTCCTTGCATATTCATGTGCTTATCTAGAAGTCCCTTAAATGCTCCTATCTGCCTCCACCACTACTTCTGGCAGCACACTCCAGACTCCTACCACTCTCAGTGTGAAAAACTTGCCCCTCACATCTCCTTTGAACTTTCACCCCTCACCTTAAATACATGCCCCGTAGTATTAGACGTTTCAAATCCGGGAAAAAGATTCTGATTGTCAACCCTATCTATGCATCTCATAATATTATAGATTTCTATAAAGTCTCCCCTCACCATCTGCCACTCCAGAGAAAACAATCTGAGTTTTTCTAGGAGCAGGAAAGCTGACGTTTTGGGTCTGGGCCCTTCTTCAGACCCTTCTCCACTGCACCAGAGATGAGGCATTCCACTCCCAGCAATTTCCCCTCCACAGTGGTCAAAAACGCCCTCGACCGCATCTCTCGCGTTTCCCGCAACTCATCCCTCACATCTCCACCCTGTAATAACAACAAAAACAGAATCCCCCTCGTCCTCACGTACCACCCCACCAACCTCCGGATCCAATGCATCATCCTCTGGCACTTCCACCACCTGCAATCTGACCCCACTAGCAAAGACATTTTTCCCTCCCCACCCTTATCTGCCTTCCGGAGGGACCACTCTCTCCGTGACTCCCTTGTCCGCTCCACACTCCCCACCAGCCCCACAACCCCCGGCACTTTTCCCTGCAACTGCAGGAAGTGCTACACCAGCCCCTACACCTCACTCCCATCCCAGGCCCCAAGAAAACCTTCCACATCAAACAGATGTGCACCTGCACATCTGCTAATGTGGTATACTGTATCCGCTGTTCTCGATGTGGCCTCCTCTACATCAGGGAAACCAAG